CATGTAAACCACATTTACATGTGTTTGACATACGGGTTTGATAAAGTCATCATAGGAAGCATTGTTAATTGACGGATATATGGGTATTGGACTTTTTTACTCATTACTCCAGCATCAGTGTCAGCTCCCAGAAATCCAAATTGGTTCTAAATCACCTTTAGCATCTGGACCACCTGCTCCTGCTGGGAGAAGACAGAAATTAATTGGAGTAACTTTCCATTTGTCTTCATCCTCTATGACTCACATATACAAACACCAAATACACAAGATTTGACAAAAATCAAAACAACAAACAACAAATCAAAATGTAAAGCAACTTTATTTACAAAATAATGAATATCATATCTAGATAGGTTAACCATATACAGTATGTCGTCCAAGAATAGCTGGTTAAAAAAACGTTTTGCTGCAAACACAAAGAGCTTTACACATTGTATGAAAAGTGTATCTCGTCTCATATACAACAATGTTCATGGTCCATGCTGATTCTAGTTTACACTGCAGTGAGAGACTGTCGGTGTTATGACCTCAGTCCGTGCTCTGCAGGAGTGATGGAGTCAGAGAGCGTACACTCTGAGACTGGTGGAGAGTAATGGCCCTTGACAGGGATATTAATATTTTAGAAGTCAGAGGAAAACCTTGTGCACTCTGCAGCAGACCTGCTGTAAAAACTTCTTCTTATTCCTTTCAACAGCTTCATTTTTATTTTACCTGAACAGGTCAAAACTTTCAATAGATTCTGAATCACGCTCCAAAGACTGAAACTGTAGTTTCTCTCAAAATCTCTTTCTGTAGCCGATATGATTTCACTGGGTGTAAATCAAGACACACACAAGTATGCAGTGGACTGTAAGGGACCGATATGCACAGGGAGTTCTTCCTGATGAAATGTTTGTGTGTTTGTGTGCCTGCAGGAAAGCCTGAGTCAATTCAGAGTAGAGGGAAAAAAAGAGAATAAGTCCACAAGTCAGGTTAAAAATTGTTAGATCCTGCAGCTTGTCATGGATTATACAAGTCTGTACAAGTCTTCTAGAGTTTTTCCTCATCTTGCCTATTGTTCTGAAGATTAAAGGTCTCACAATAGTTGTCATGTGTTTTCTTCTGGTTCTTGTCTGAGTCATGAACCACGTTCTTCAAGATATTCCTTCATGATGACAGAGTGCTGTGCAACATCCTGGTCCAAAGAAAGCACAAAACTTGGTTAATAACTCAAATACTATAAATACGAGGCATAAACACTGAAAGGAAAGTGCTTAACCATTAAGAAACTGACGAGACAAACTGGCACTGAAGACGTGAAACACAAATCAGAAACAAATGTGATTGACAATATGATAATAAAACAGAAAAAAACAGCAATCAAAATAAACAATTAAAAACAATTGGAGACTAATGAACGAATGAAATAAA